AATGATACTGTAGTAGTTTTTAGCACTATTTGCAAGGATAATTTTATTCATCCAACCCGAATGAAATATAAATTTGCTTGTAATAGGAGCCAAAATATTCTAACAGTTAGGAACATCCAGCAGAAAGGAAATTAAAGGAATGAGACGGAAATAAGAATGAAAACTGTGAGCCAGCCAATGATTTGATGAAGCTAAGAGTAGGGCAATACGAAATGTTACCAAGTTGTCATCAGATGTCATCGATTCATCACATCAAATATTTTTCGTGAATTTTTTAATGGAAATCTTTCATTCGAATATCATACAATTCACACAATTCACTTCAATACCTACGATATGAGCTGGAAATATGAATATTTGTACCTATTGTTTGATCAAAAATTATGCTCATCATTTCCAACAAGTATACTTGATTTAAAAAATTTCCTCCTAAATACTTCAGAATAAATAATTTAAGAATAATTTTAAGAAATTAATCATATTAGTAAACACATTATTTTGGAAAACATAAATATTGACTTCCCGAGTGGCTTCACTTTACAGATTTGATTTTTCTAATGATGAATTTGAACTTGAATTCGTCTCTAGCATTGAATAAATGGAAAGCATAAAGCCGTACTTAAAGTTTTTGTCAGAATTACTATGAAGTATGATTATAAGGTTAAATTTCGATGTAATACCTAAGTTGTTTTTTGAATGGGAAAACTAAAATGCTGAATTCATTTCAGTTTTCTGTGTGGGCAAAAATAATACAAAAGATTTTTCTTTTTTTTTCCCCCTTTTTTTTCAAAGAGCTTCAAATGCAACTGAAATTTGCACATCAATATTTACATGTTAAATACAGTTTCATAATGTATTTAAACTTTACACCATCTGTCGCTTAATTAATTTTTATGCAATAATAAAAATTTTTATGTAAATTGCAGAAACCTGGAAATAAGTGTTCTGATTACTGCATACTGATGTATCTGTTTGCACAGGTTTCAATTGGACTCTAAAGTTTAGATTCAACATCACAAATTTAACCTAAATTTTGGCTCATTCATAACATTTTAACAGTCAGCGATTACCAACATAATACTGATACAAACAGGATCGGCAAAAAGATCATTTGTTATAAATTGTTGTCATGCAGTGAAAAGGAAGTGTGCGATATTGATAACAGATACCAGGTTTTTACATCTGAATTTATCCGGAAAAAAATTTACCCGGAAAGAAATTTGCTCGTCCCATTTGTCGGGTAAAGGCAAGAATTTGATTCGTAGTCCAGGTCCAATTAATAAATGATTGCTACCCTTACTTGCATGTGCAAAAATCTCATGTTAATAAAGCCAAAAATAACAACGTTGGAATATTTCTAACCAATCCTTTTTATAGCTTGGTCCAAATCTATGCTTTTGGATTTCGTTCTTTAAAATTTAACTTTGAATTTTAGATTATCTCTTTAAATTTAAACATTGTAATAAAAAATTATTTTCCGGAAACATTTCTATAATTTGGTTGAGCTGCATGCAGTTGTTTCTGATTGCTGCTGCAGTTCAAAGTAAGCAGTAAAAATGAACCTATGAACTAAATAAATTCCAATAAATTTTGGGCTTCAAACCCTAAATTTTGAAATAATCCGGTAGTTTGAAATCTTTGTTTTTCATACTTCCCTAAAATTTAGCATAAATTCATGAATCATGCAGAGATTGAGTGAAAACATATACATTTGATTTTAAAGATTTAAAAAAAAAATGTGAAAAATTTCATTTTGTTCATTAGCTACCATATGCTAATGATAGCCAACTGATAAAAGATTGCAAAACTTATCACAATTAAATACCAGCAAGTTGCAGCACTGATTGGTAATGGGTGATAGGAAATACATTACTGATAAACAAAATTCGACAATCGATTGGTATGAGGTAAGCTCTATTCCTTTCCCTTTCTTTTTTTTTTTTTTTTTTTTTTCATTCCTTCTTTGCCAGTTTAGTAAAAATCTTGTTTCTTTTACTACCAATTTGTATGTCACAAATAATATAAATAACAATGATTTGATAGTTGAATTTTCGGGACCAATAGATAAAATGCAGAAATTAAAATCCAAATTAATTTATTACCAAAAATCGATAGCAGTAGTTATCATAACAAAGGTGACACTTATAATTTCCAACGCAAAACTTGATTTGAAGTGTAAACATAACAGAAAACCTACATAAATTGGGCTGCTTCCACAACTCGAATCACCGTTTATTTTGAATTGTTGCTCATACTTGTCCCTAAGTTTATTTAGTTTAATAGTTAAATAACTATAGATTAATCAATTAGTTCTTGCTTGATTATTAAAAAGACTTTTCAAAAAAAAAGTTTTAAATAGTTTAAAATTTACAAAGCATTGAAAAATATAATAATGCATTAATATGGAAGATTGCTTTTCTGATCAGTGCAGCAATTAATTAAACAAGAGCTAATTATGTAAAGCATAAATTAGGAAATATTGAATTATGAAATCGCGATTCTTATATTTGCGACAAAAAAAAAGAAGAAAAAAATGTGGAATTTTGGCATTATCTATTTAGTTATAAAATAAGAATCATAAAAAAAAAATGATTTGCGCTTTTACGCTTCTTAAATTGTCAATTATTCTACAAATATAATAAAACTCAGTGATAATATATGGGATGCTTATTATCAATAACGGCCAATATATTTGATAGATATAGGAATGAGACAGTTTTAAGGATGATAATATGAGTTTGTTATCTGATGTTAGAGAATTTTCATCAAAATTTTCTTCATGTATGGGAAATAGCTTTGATGACAGATTACCCAAGGGAACAATAGAAAAGCGATTCGTAATACTGATTTTTCCATCTAAAAATCTTTGTATAATGTCCAGTGATTGAAATTCATTTATTTGATGCTATTTTTCCCACTATTAAAATGCCTGTTTATCTTATCGAAATTTATTCCAATCTTATTTTAATTTCACTTATGTGTTTAAGAATGAAATGCAAAATACCCCTTTAAAATTTGTGGATGGATGGTTAAACTGGTTGTGACATCAATTGTTGCTAGTAGTAAAGTCAGACAATGTTATTCGTATAATTTTTTTTACTCGTGAAATTTCAATATTTTTACATTTTTAAGTAAGTTCCACTTTTACAATCGTAAAAATCTCCTTAAGATCAGCCTAAATTCCAATTTATCGATTATAAAAGGATATTTGGAAGAGGAAAGAACGAAGGAAATTCCGGGATCACTCGAGAAGTATACGGGATAGTTAACGAAGAAAGACTGCTTGTAGTGGAGTGAAAATGCTACTCATAAAAGCTTGCCAAAGTAAATATCGTCCGTCTCTACACTCACCTAGCATATTTAAACTTCTGTATATCAGTACTGCATACAAGCAAGCAGCAAAAACTACCCATCTGCATGTTCAGAAGGCGAGTCCGAAGAATTTTATATATTTTTCCTGAAGTTTTAATTTATAGTTTCAAATATGGAAAGGATGATTTTGAGCTTCTAACTAGTAAATAAACAATCGTTGCATTGCTACTAAATAAAGTGTCGCAGAAGCTTCCTCTGTCTTCTAAAAATTATTGGATGAAGTGTCACAACAAGCTAACTCATTCAATTTTCAGTCCTTATGTGTTTTCATTGATAAAAGTGAAATGGAAGCCTAAAGTCATATGACTTTGAAATCAACTAATGAATGCACCCATAAGAACTCTCATGGGTTAAGTAATTTAGGTTAGGACATTTAGAATGTGCTTAAAAGTAACACAATTTTCGCAGATTGCAACAAACATGATTAATTTTTTTTTTCTTTTAAAAAAAAGTGAACTTTGAGACCAGAGTAGAACATTCACTTTCCCTTTTGTTTATTTGTTTTTTCTTTTTTTTTACCATAAATTATAATTTTCCAGAATCCTCTCCCGAAGCCACCTGTGCCTTCACTGGAACATACCCTGAAACGATATCTAGAATATGCATCAGTGGTAGTTAAAAATGATCAAACGAAATTATCACGCACTGAAAAAGCAGTTGATGATTTTCGAAATACTGGTGCAAGATTGCAAAAAAAGCTTGAAAAAATAGCAAATGAGCAAGATAATTGGGTAAGTCCAAGGGAAATTTCTGAAAATTATAATTAAAATGCTAGTGCCATTCGTTGCGGTAAATCTGACATTGTGTAACAGGTTCATCGATCGCATTTCCGGTTGTTAAGGGTTTGCTCCTAAAATAATCCATGCATATCCTTTCCACAAATTGAGGGAATAATTAGGAAGGTTGAATTACGTCATTTTCTTTCTTTCCTTTTTTCTTAAAAAATTTAAAATATTTCGTTATTTTCAGATCAATCAATTCTGGTTACCAGAAATGTATTTGAAAGTAAGACTTCCATTACCAGTAAATTCTAATCCAGCTTATATTTTTCCACAACAGAACTTCAACAATATGAACGAACAGTTGAGGTAATTTTGGTGGTAGCTAAAAAAATATGCCAATTTTTTTTAATTTCAAGCGAAAATTTTCATTTTACTTTTTTCTAACAAAATATTATTTCTTTCAGCTATACGTCTTGCCTCATTCGTGGATTTTGTGAATACAAAGATTTAATCGACAGGTATGGAAAGAGTGTATCATTTTTTTTTCGAAAAATTTTCAAAAGTAATTGGTTCTATTAATAAGTCTGAAAATTAATTAATTCGAGACAAAAAATAATGCATACGGAAAACTATTCCTTAAGAAATGAAACACAAACTAAATTAAATGACACTAAGCTAAGTAACTTTCATAACATTATGGATTATTAGAATTACTTATAGTGCAAATATTTAACAGTCATTTTTCGGCAACCTTCTAAGAAGTGTAAAATGTACATTAGTTACCCAACGAAATACTTCCATTTGGATAAGCTGTCGGAAATGTAAGGATAGTTAGCATCAAAAGCTACATAATGGTTGTTTCAATAGTCGGCCAAAATTTACTTTCCTACCTTATCAACGAATCAAATAAAAATTTCACATGAACATTAAAAATGTTCAACAATAATAATAGTAATAATAATAATAATAATAATAATAATAATAATAATAATAATAATAATAATAATAATAATAATAATAATAATAATAATAATAATAATAATA